AGACCATACCACGAAACAAGGATCTCTACAGACCCCAGGACTTAAGGACAAACTGGCCAGCGAGACCCATTTGCGCCGCTTCACGGAGAATGTATTGGACTCCAGGCAGCAGGAGATTGAAAATCGGGAAACAGAAAAGGGCCAGCTTGCAGTAGAGGTGGGAACTCTCAGAAGAGAACTTGCGGTCACTCAGCGGCAGCTCGCAGAGGCTCAAGATCAGATCTTTCGTCTACAGCCTAGGAGAAGAGATATCACAGAGACAGAGGCGAGAGAAGCCTACAAGACCCTAGTTGGGAATGTCCAGCGCTGGGTTGAAAACCGTGCTGCGTATGCGATTGAGGATTTGGAAATTGGCCGCCTTGCTGCCAGGGCATCTTCTCCAGAAGGGCTGCGGCTTGTTTCTCTTCTCAGGGAACAGTCAAGACGATGCTTGAGTGTTACCCAGTCTGACGAATTTCACATCACTGGGGTCATCATGAACTATCTCCACGTTACTCTATTCTCTAAGTCTTTTTATTGTCCGCTCGATGATACGGAGGGCGATGGAACATCGAGATGGCTTGATGAACTCGAGAATACTATGTCCCGACTACCAAGAGGTTTGTCTTTACCTCAAGGCGTGATATATATACCAAGCTGCTAACATCTCACAAGATACAGCTCATTGTAGGGAATGGAGAAGCGAGACTCTGACTGCCTTGACTCACCAACCATCTTTCAGAACGCGCCGGCAAAGATTTCTGAACTTTGTCGTTGACGATCTGACAACTTTACTCTCAATCATTGCCCCGAAAAGTCCTCCCGCTGAACTACATAGTTCTATTCGTCGAAGCATTGTAGAACCCGCAGCAGATCTTGCTCATCAACTCCACCTGGCGCCCAGTCTGTTTTCATTGAAGTGGCCTGCTCGTACAGCTGCGACGAGGTTGGAGGTTTATCAATGCTTGAACCTGGCGACTGGAGGAGCAATGCTTGACTTGAGTGGAACAAAGGCAACTTCTCAAGCGCGCCGCGGTGTCATATATCTCTTTGACATAGCTCCTGGACTTTTCGTCGAAAGAGTTGAGGGTGGTAGAAAGCTCGGGCTGAAAGCGATTGCTAAACCCACAGTTCTCGTCACCAATTCAGGGGGGGATGTTCTCCAAGGCCCAACAATAATGAATTACCTATGGAACAATGCGCCAACTTCTCAGGGAACCAGTCGAAGCTCATCAAGAGCATCAAGTTCAAGGAGTGAGTACAGGCCTTTCCCACACCTTTTTAAGCTCTGACTTGTCTTAGGGCCAGCTGGGTCTGTCATATCGGCATCAAGCAGACAAAGATATTAGTCCTCGTTTTATGGAATTGTGTTCTTGTGAGGCGTAGAAGTCAGCAAACAGAGACAATAGCATTGAGAAGACAAAAACGATAACTGAAGAGAAATAAAACGCATGGATGCGACTTTTATTGTTTGAAGGATATCATATTTGGGTATTTTAAGGAAACTGTGCTAGAATTGCTTTTATCGATACCAATAACCACCATAACCTTCCTGATGAGTAACAATTACTGGTATACTGCGAACTCGACGAGTTGGCCGAGGAGGTAGAGGCGGTGGTGGGGCGCCAACTTCTGATGCAGGCCGCCGCCGACCAGAAACAGGGACCTGTAGAGTGTTTCCGGGATAGTGTGGCGCGAGTGGCCTTGGGGGAAGTGGTGGTGCTGATGACCGTGACTGTGAAGGCCGCCTAAGCCTCTCGGGCATATTCGATGCGGCGTTCCTAGTCAAACGTTGGCCTTGAACCACCTGATGTTGAAGGTGCAGGGGTCTTTGACCAGATGCCCTGTTGTTTGGCGGTGATGATTCTCTCCCCCTGGGAGGAGTTGCTCGCTTGACCTCGCGGGCAGGTTGCTTCGCCTTTTTTGCGGGATTTGGAACTTTCCTCACAACTTTCGGTTTTGGTGGTGTGGTAGCTTTCGTAGGTCCGGTTGCTTCTCTGTCCCCTGAGTTCTGGCCAGTCGTTGCTGGAATGAATGGTCGGACACAGTTGCTAATATAGTCGTTGGTGACCCCTAAGGATGTGGCATCGACAATGCCTGAATTGATTCTGTTGATATACTCCTCCTTTGGCTCGCTATCAACGATGTATCTTGGACTTATGTATACCAAGATGTTCTGTTCCAAGTGTGGCTTGTGGTTGATGGCCTTCCTCTGCCCTTCCCCTTGCTGGGCAAGGACTCGTGCGTGGTCTGGGCCACCATTGTTGACAATCCAAGACACAGGTCGGCGATACAAGGCAGCTTCAGCACGCCGCAGCGTAACAGCCATGTACTTCTTTTGATATGCGTCCTTGGCAACACCTTCATTGATATCGAGACGAGCCTCATCGCGGGGGTTGATTTCATAAACAAGGCCTTCAACCCAATGGCCTTGAGACTCGACAACATTGGCGTATCCACGCTCGTTGATCTGCCAGCGATGATCTGCCAGCTTCCCAGAGCCGATGAATTTGCTTCCAGGGCATCTTCGTTTCATCTGCTGTAAATGAAGATTGCTACCGTAGGCAAAGTAATATTTGGTGAGTGACTGGCCGGTGTCGGCCTGAGCCTCATCTGCAGGTAAATTCATGTTGGAGATCTGTCGGGGGCAGCAAGCTCCGTATATCCGATGGTGAGGTGCAGGAAAAAAAGAGTGTGTATTGTGTGTGTGTATTGCGTTACGTTTCGTTGTGGTAGGAGAATGTGATAGTGAGCTAACGGCGATTAAGATGTGATGTGAATCGGCTCCCTCACATGAGAAAAACAATATCGATCAAGCCAACAATGTCCACGTCGACTTGACTAAAGCATAAACTAACTTACGTACAGTAGCTGTGCTCAGCGCCAGCAGCGCTCAATGGGCGGAGTGGGCTAGGTTGTGCAAGTCACCGACTGGGCCTTATTGTCACATTGGGCAGCAAATGAGTCAGATTTTCACATGAGGAGACGCCAACTCATGGCCAATTGTTGCGTCCCACGTTGGGAAGACTCGCAAGGTACCTGACAAGCGAATTTTGCAGGGTAGACACGGTTACATTTTCGTGAATACCGACTGTCTGGGCCGTTACAATGGCAGGCAAAAATAGGCGTCGTTTGATAGCCTCAGAATATTCAGACGCTACGAGACGGCCCAGCCCGCCTCCATTTCCTTGTTGGGCTCCGTACCGTGGCCCCGGTCTCTCGGCATTCCTCCCCGGAGCCCCCGGCCAGATCCACAACGACAGCTCCCGCCAAACCGTGCATCCGCACCGCCATTCGAGGCCAGAAAGGTTTTTGCTGTACTTAACCTGAAAGCGAGGCGACACTTTTGAGATGTGACAATGACAGCTCATGTTAGGCGAGCGAGCGTGTTACTGACCAAAAGCTGAGAGCCAGCAACTGACAATTCTGTGGTTGTGTTTAGGTCAAGCACGCGGCCGTATCCAAACGTTTTGAACAAGGCACAAGCGTATCAGGAAACGGGTGATCAACTTCATGTAATACGGCTCCCTCTCTGCAGCAAGGTGATAATTCAAAATCCAAGGTGGTTGTCTTATACATCTGCATGGCCAAAACCGCCACCTTCAACCCGATCCCAGCCAACTCGACCATCTTTTTTTTCCGAGTCCCTAAACATTTCTTACGTCTTGTCGATCATGACGGCATCAAAGCTCAGGCATTACAACTTCGGCGTGGAGATCGAGGCTGTGGTGAAGCCTTATGGTGGTGCTGATAGCTTTACCAATGTCGACTGGTATCGACAATTGGCACAGAAGCTACGGAACCGCAACATCGAAGCTGTGCACGATGACTGTTCAAAATACAGCAAACATCCAGAGTACTACGGCGGTAAATGGTTTGTCACTAGAGATGGATCGCTGAAGAGAGAGCGTCCCATGGGTATGTCGTCCCCTTCACCGCGAAACCAGCGGACCGTTTAGTTTGTTCACTAACAGGGGATCCCAGTCTGCATGGAAGTCGTTTCCCCTCGTCTAGATACCAAGCAACATGTCAGTGGCATACTTGGCGACTTTTGGGAAGCCATGCGTGTACACTTCAGTCCCCAGCGCGATATCTCCTGCGGCGGCCACGTCCATGTCACTCCCGTCTCTGGCCAGAACAAGTTCTCCCTACGTGGCCTCAAGAAGATTGCATTTGCATCTGCTGTTTATGAAGAATTTGTCGCAGCTGTCCTCCCCAAAGCTCGTCGAGAAAATCAGTACTGTCGGCCAAACAGCCAAAGCATGGGTTCTGGGTTGCGCGACACACTGATACGATTTGGTAAAAGCAAGGGCTCACTTCTCCAAGTCGCATCAGAGATCAAATCAACGACATCTGAAATGGAATTGTGCTACTATATGCAGGGGAACCGATATGTGCTATGGAACTTCCAGAACATTTTCCCAAATCCCAAGACTGGTAAATGTACTGGCACGGTTGAATTCCGGGGTGGCAACCAATTCTTGAGTACGAAGGGGACACTTGCTTGGGTGGCATTCGTAATGGGATTCATCACATTAGCCCTGGAGGAGGTAAGTTGCTTACACGACGTGCTATGCTCAAGCTCCCTTTTGACATCTCTTTCAGGATCTTCTCAACAAGCTTACTGCGTATACTTCGCCCGACGACCCAAAGTTTCAAGCACGTCTCGAAGACTGGTGGAAACGAATACGCCAAGCGGCTAAGCAATCTAAACTCTCTCGATATCTACCTTTAGAGTACATCAAGATGCACACGAGATAACCATATGGCATGATACTTCTGCCAGGACGACGACAGACCAATCCTCATACCCACCTGGGTTAGGGTATATGTTCTTTGGCTTATTGGGATTGTTTCGGGGTATAGCATGATGCATGATTTCAATTAATGGAGTTATCGGTGTTTAGGCGTACGCATGTTTTTGACATTGCAGATTAGCTCTCGGCATATTTATGAACGGAACAGACCCAAGGACTGGGAAGAGATCATGAGGGGATCAAGTGCATTTCTTTTTAATAGATAGCGTATCATTCAATCTCCTTTAAATAACGCCAAATTCATTACATCATGGTATCCAATATCAATCATGACTCTCCGTCCTTTGTTTCGCCTTCTTCGAATAGTACAAGTACCGTACCAGCCTTGCAAATATCCTGTATTACATTAGATGAGATATCAGAAAGGAATGCCCTGGGAACTTACCCCTTCTTTATGTGCAAGCTTCTTGATTACGCCATCCTGCGGCGACCGAATAATAGTTTCCATCTTCATTGATTCAATTCTGAGAGCCTGTTAGCCTATTTCTGCATATAGGGAATGTGTACTTACACCACAAGCGGTGCTCCCTTTTGCACAGTTTGACCCTCCACTACCTCGTTCTTCAATATCTTGCAGGGCATCGGCGCTGCAACTGAGGCGCTTGACTCCTTGAGCCCAAGAGCCTTCTCGTACCACTTGGGTGGCAGAAGGACAAGATCTGTTTTCACGCCATGCTGGAAAACAGTAACCTTTGTGTCATTGTCTGTGTGTTGAGGGACCACGGACGATTGAATGCGCTCAAGGGGGAAGTATGACTCGAGTTTCATCACTTCACCCTCTGGCTCTGGCTGGCAGGCAATGTTTGTGAACACTTGAGGTGTCTCGTCACCTTTTCGGTGGACAGCAATGTTATAAAGGTTATGACCTGTCTGTGTCACGCTGGCCTCGACGACCTCGCCCTCTTCCTTGCTATACCCATCAAGAATTTTAAAGCTTAGCTTTCGTTCCCCGATGTTGTTGGTCTCGCCAAAGCCAAGTGTCAAGCCATGGGGTCCAGAATTTCGAAGTTCAAAGTTGACCATCCCAAGGGCTGCTTGGGCCACAACTTCATTCTTAATAGGTCGGGGTTTAAAAAGCTCCTCTCGCCACTTGTCGATGAAGCCCGTTTCCACGTCACCAGCCACAAAGGCATCAGTCTCGCAAAGTCGCTTGAGAAATTCGATATTTGTAGCTACACCAACAATTTCGTATGAGCGTAGAACGCTCTCCAATTTGGCGATAGCACGTTCTCTCGTATCGCCTCGTACGATAAGTTTGGCGATCATGCCGTCGTATGCTTCGGAGATCGTATTACCGGATCGAAATCCCCAATCCAGGCGAACATCCTCGTTCTGCAATTCGGTAGGGAGATAAGCCCTCACTAATTTGCCGGAGTCGGGAATAAAGCCCTTTTCAGGATTTTCGGCGTAAATCCGTGCTTCGATGGCGGCGCCCCTCTCGTTCATCTGTGCTTCCACTTCCTCCTGGGAGAGTGGAAGCTTTTCGCCTGCAGCAACTCGGAATTGCCATTCGACTAGATCCAGGCCAGTCACCATCTCAGTGACAGGATGCTCCACCTGTAGTCGAGTGTTCATTTCCATGAAATAGAATTTGTTGGTATCCTTGTCGAGGATAAACTCAACAGTGCCAGCGCCGACATAGCCAACTGCCGACGCTGCTTTTCTTGCCTTGTCCCAGAGATCGTGTCGGGTTGCCAGATCTAGATCTGGAGCTGGAGATTCTTCAAGGATCTTTTGATGCCGACGCTGAACACTGCAATCTCGCTCACCTAGCGCGACGGTATTGCCCCATTTGTCGGCAAATACTTGCACCTCGACGTGCCTTGGTCGAATGATATACTTCTCCACCAGCATGACCTCGCCTCCTTCACCAAATGAGGCCTTGGCTTCGGCACGGGCACTTCTAAGTTGCGTCAAGAACTCCTCCTCGGTCAGGACGATCCGCATTCCCTTGCCTCCACCTCCTCGTACACTCTTTAGAAGCACCGGAAAAGTGATGTTTTTGGCATGCTCCAGGAGTTCTTGCTCGCCCTGGTCTGCTCCATGGTATCCTGGGACGCAGGGAACATTTGCAGCTGTCATAATTTCTTTACTGCGGGCTTTGTGTCCCATATCGGCCATGGCAGTAGCGGGTGGCCCAACAAACACGATACCCTCCTCTTCGCAACGCTCTGCGAACTTGGAGTTTTCGGACAAGAAGCCATAGCCGGGATGGAGTGCCTGGATGCCGTTTTGCTTCGCTAGAGCAATTATTTTCTCACCATCAAGATAGGCGTTTGCAGGGCCTAGCGCCAAAGACTGAAACCCCGAAGAAGCATGCCATGAACCAGCGTCAACATCTGTGTAGACGGTTGTAGCCCGAATGCCAAGGCGCTCAGCAGTCCGGTTGATACGGATGGCAATCTCACCGCGGTTGGCGATAAGGACAGAATTGATGGGTGTGTGCTTTGGTGCAGATTCTGAAGAAGCAGAAGCGCTTGAAGGGGCAGATGTTGAGAGGAATCGAGGGAGGGGCTTCAAAGGAAGTCGACGATTTGCACGAAGTGTGGAACGCATGATGAGCGATGGGGTTAATGAAGCGCCCAGTATGAAATCAAGGAGCAGTATGCAGCTTGACAGAAGTTCAAAATGATTCTCACTGACATAAATAAGGAGAGAAACCGACTGTAAATCTCCGTCCCGGATGATGAGCCGTCCCTAATGCCGTGAATGTGCTATGCCGTCGGCTTTGAAGGTTCAAGTCGGCAAGGACAGACGTGACCGTGAGGAGCCGCAAGTAACCGGTACCTAGGTACCTTCCCCAGACGGCAAATTTAGAAGCTTAGCTCGAATGAACTCTGGGGAAAGCACGCTCAGTGTCATTACGTCACATTCCCTCGATTCTGTGTGACTAAGCCGATGCTGTGACCGGGATTTGCGGAACGTACCGTGCAGCAAAGCTGCCCTGGAGCCCCTCCATTATCTCAAGGTATCTCAGCATCATCAATCATCATTCAGCCATTATATCATGGATCAAATACCTCTCAACTCCGAAGCCTCTCAGGGCGATACCCACAAACAAACGACCTCGACGCTTCCGCCGGATGTTGTACAATGCCTGGACAACGCTCGATTTGTAGACTTTCCCCGCACCACCAACATCCCATCGCAGATCAAAGGCTGACAATCGATATAGCTTCATTTGGCAACATGCACGGATAACGTGCCGCACGTCTCTCTAATGAATTACACATATCTTCCCTCGTCACCTTACTCTAATTACCCCGTCATCATCATGACAACGAACCCGGCATCACGGAAGACCACCAACTTGGTTGCCAACCCCAATGTATCCCTTCTTGTCCACGATTGTAAGTCGCGTCTTCATGTTCGAGACTGGTGGACTCCAAACATACTGACCATCTTTTCAGGGGTCTCCCATCGACCACCTACTCACGGCCGCCGACCGTCTGGTGGCTCTCCTGGCCCAGAGCACCGATCGAGTCTCGCTTCACTCCTCTTGAACCTCAATACCTCAGCACTTTCTAGCATCAGTGCGACCATAGGAGGCGCCGCTCGTCTAGTGCCTAGCGGAACAGAGGAGGAAAAATATTATCGCGAGCAGCATCTGGAGAACAATACTTTCGATGAGTCCGCAGCCCAGCCTTTCCAGCGGGACAATGGACCTGTTGAGGATGGAGGTCGCAACTGCTTTGTAGCTGGTGAGGAAGTCAGAGTTGTTTCGGTCGATATCAAGGACGTACGCATCAGTGACTGGAAGGGCACCGTGAGAGACTGGGCAATCGTCCCAGAAGGTAACCTGGTCAATGGAACCCAGTGAGAATGATTATATTACAGCCGGCACATCCTTGGCCAGAGCCTCATTATTGTACTTTAGCAATCGGTTTCGAAGATGCAGTACAAGCTGCCTTGTTCGTCTAAACAATCCAATATGAGAATATTATATTTCAATATCAAAATACCAATCTAGCAGCACAAAAGGTGAAGCCAAAGGCACGCAAGCAAGATAACACAATAAGAGTTTTTTAGGTTTTTTTTTTTTTTATAAAAAAAAAAAAAAAAAAAAAAAACACAACACAACACAACACAACACAACACAACACAACACAACACAACACAACACAACACAATATAAGGCGTCATACACTACGCCAAAAAAAACACAATAACCTAAATATTAAGTCTCAGCAGATCACACAGCAGCTGCCTTGAACCTTAAGATCCAATAGATTGGATCAGGTCGCAAGACAACGCAGTGGGATAAACACAAATTGAGGATAAACACAGTTGAATAACACTTGGGGAGAATATTATATATTTCGATCATTCGCAAGACCCAGGTATTCCAGACAAAGTACTAGCTAGATCAACTCCTATAGACCAGTGCCGTTGTCACAGAACGAAACAAAAGCAGACAAAAAACGCTCGATTCATATCGCTCTTCCCCCAGGCAGGGTTTTGTGAACCCTCGGATTGCCGCAAGGCCATACCACTGTAAGGTTTCCCCAATGCCAATCAATTCCAGCCACCCAACGCCGTTGCAGACAAACAACTGTAAAGACAGATCAAATAAACTCGACAAATAGCATTTGACGCATGAACAACATGGTCAGTTCACTTCTCCGTCTAGTGTATGTAGGCAGGCGCATCACCGAGCCCACTCAACAACCTCGAGGGCCATCATTACCAAAATAAGAGTAGAGGGAAGAATCCTGCATACGTTAGCGCAATTCGGGATAAATTACACCGAGTATCAGGTGTCATGACTTACCAGATGACATAGCTCTGGAACAAAATTCTGCCCATTGTCTTCTCAAATACACTGTTGATTTGGCAGATTTGAGCGAGCTGAAGCGCGCTGGGCGCTCCCGTGAGCAAGAAACAAACAATAACAAAGATTGGATCGTCAAGAATGCTAACGGGTACGTATTTGGCCATAAGCGCAAGCATAGGAGCCATGATGGCAGTTGGTAGAACCATACGGCAAAGAAGGGAGGCAATGAGAAGTTTGTTGCCGATGCGCTCTTCCTCAGGGTCTAAAGCCTCATCCTTAGCCATGGTATTACGAGCAAGATTAGCGCCAAGAACAACGAGGATCAGTGGGACAGCGACATCTCCACTAGAGCGAACAGCGTTGGTCACACTATTCTGGACGAAGGAGCCCTCCTCAAAGAAGAGTCGTTGAAGAGCCGGAATAGAGGCGACGAGGATAGCAATCAGCATAGCCCAGAGAGGGGGGTTCATGAATTCCCAGATAAAGTTGTTCAATTTCCCAGCCATACGCTTCGTAAATTTCAAAGAAGACTTGACAAGAGCTGGAGACTTCTGGTACCAGTTGCTGAGGGCTTGGGATGTTGCCTTTCCAAGACGGATGAAAGGCGATTTGATAGCAGACTTAGTACGGTCCGCAATGCCAGTGGGCTCATCCTGATCCTCCAATGCCGGGACACGGGGGAAGGAATCCATGCCACCTTCATTTCCATTAAGGGGAGCAACAACATCCGTTTGTTCTTGGCTGTTCTTAAAATGCGGCTTTTTGGGCAGAAATTCGTCATCGCTAGAGACTGCCAGTGAAACTTTGGAGGCATTCGCAACAGGTGTACGACCAGCAGGATCATAGTTTTGCGAGTCGATGCTGTGGTTGTCCCCCTCGTCCTCTGTTTCTCCGTCAAGGCCATCAATCAGAGGCGCAGTCTGGTAGTCATCATGATTCTCATCATCGTGATAACGCTGGCCTTCCTCGGCAATTTCCTCGCGGTACTCGGGATATTTATCCTTAGGGGCAAGAAGGACATGGTAGCCCCAACTCCAGCGGACGAGTTGACCAAGCTGCTGGAAGATAAGGAGGTAAAGGATACCACGCGCGCCAACTTCGTCATCGTTATCGCCTGGAACTTTGTCCCAATGAAGACCCTTCAGCGTTTGAGAGAGCGACAAGACAAGGGAGATAGGTAACGAGTTGGAGTTTCCGAAAACACCCATCGCTGTAACGAAGTTGGATGCCCGTCTGTTGAATCGGAACAACTTTGCGACGACATATGATACAACCCATGATACAAACGTTTGGACGACGAAGATGACCGGTATGATAGCGAGATCGGATAACTTCTCAGCGTTAAGTTGGGAGGCGAGCTTAGTGAAGACTGTAGCGGTATTAGTAGACAGTATCGGTTCAAAGCGAAACGAGAACATACTCAAGCATGGTGTGAATAGCATCACATTTAGATTAGCCAAGAATTTCTGCTTCTCGGCATCGAAGTGGCCAAGTCGCGCAACGATGTAGCCAGGTAGACTGACACATACTACTTCAAGGACAGCCTCGAACACGAGAAGACAAAGATGCCCGATCGATGGGTGCGATTCATGGGTGTTGGCGAGTGTTTGTAAGGGCAATTCATATGCATCTTGCGCAAGCTGCGTCAGCCGAAACGACGGAACCGAAAATGATTTCCAAGAAGCCATCAAATATCAGCAATGCAGGCTGTTGTCGTTGTTTTTGGGGTAGAATTAAGGATCGGCGCGAATCGGGGAGTTCCTTGATGCTGCTTCTCTCGGCGCGCGCGCGCACGTGGATATGAGACGACTGATAAGGTTCTGTCTGAACAGAATTGCACAAAAGCTGAGCGCGCAAAAGAAAAAAAAATATCGTCTGAAGGTTTGCGTTGAAATAAGTGAAGGCAATGCCTCTTAATTGTCTCAATTGATTGTGTCGTGGGATATTAGGGAGAAGAAAGTTAAAAGATACCTGGGTAGTGATGGCGAAATCTAATGAAGGAGAACGCAGTGCGAGTGGGTTCTTTTTTGGGGCGAGGCGGCGGTGCCGTTGGGAAGTAGAGCAAGTTTAGAGAACGACGCACATTGAAACCTCCTCCATCATCGATTGATAACTCGAGCTAGATATAAGCTATGACAAAAGCCCCATTAAACTGCCTTGTTTAGGCACCATCTACATCTAAACATCTCACTCTGGTTACCTCAATATGGGGCTTCAGCTCCTTGAGGAACTCTCTGTCTCATCACGATTCACCTGCAACGCTGTCGCTGGCGCGGTACAACCACTCTAGCACCTTGTGCCAGCACCCTGATTGAGGTAACCCAACCATCCAGACCCATGCCTTGGAGAAGATGCTGGCCATTGAAACCCGCCCATGTGTGCTGTGGCGCAGGGCCAGTCCAAAGCCAGGGTTTAGTAGAATCTCACCTCCAGCTCGGAACGGGAGTTACTTAACAATGCCGCGTGGCATGAGAGGCGTAAGAGGCAATTTGTTCGTCGATACATGCTCCCTTTGCACGTATCCAGAAACGATTTCTGCAGAGGAGCCATAAATAGTGCCTCCTTTGTATCATCGAGCAAACAAATGGATTGCCCCTGTTGTGTGATAGCCCGGAGCACGAAACAAACAACAGCAAGCGATTCTCAAAAGCGCAGATCCCATCGTCAGACGTCTCAAAATTGTTTAAGCCTCCGTGGCTTCACTACCGAGTAGGAAACGATCCCGCTTACAGGGGTTGTTGATAGGAGTGATCTTCAGGCGGGCGACGCACGATTGTATTAACCATGGCGCCAATCTTTCGTCATGGTGCTATGAGGCACGTTTCCTATCCCTCCACGCTGAGAGGCTGGAGGGTCAGGCCAAGAAAGACGCGGAGCAAAATTGCAGCCCATCACGTCTCGTCGTTGACATAGGTAACTGCAACGAGGCTGTGTCACTGGCGATCGCATCGTAACAGTTGTATGGTATGTACACTGATATCAGAGGCAAAATCTATTGATCGCGTAGTCGGTCACGCGAGGATTTATGAGAT